CTTGGTGGGTGTTGACCATTTGTTGATGGCTCCGGTGCATGGCACACACCCCTGCACTCTGGCACCTTCCAGGGAGCCGCCTCGGCTGACATGGGCCATCCTCTCCCCAGGCCATGAGTGATGGTGTCCTTTTTACCCTGGGTCCCCCAGTCAGTCGGGATCTCCGTGAAAGCCGGTGACCAACCTGCTCCTGGTGACTTTCTTCCCTTGCACTAGAAGGCAGCACTGGTGCTCTGGGTGAGTGGACACAGGAGGGTCTCAGGCTGCCCTGCCTCCCTGGGCCATCGAGGCTTTTCAAATCTGGCATCTGCTCAAGTGAGAGGGAGGAGCACAGAGCACAAAGTGAGGGTCCTGAGCCCCAGGCCTGGCGGGAGACCGGCCACAGTTGTGGGGGCCCACCGGCATGTGGTGACTGTGGGAGACACTGGCTCTGGATGTCCCGAGGGCTCCCTGGGCAGTGGCTGCTGGGAGGGCATGGCCCGGTGGGTACCAGGAGAGCTGTGTGTCTCTTGGCCCCAAGCGCATGTGCTCCCTTGTGGCATCTCACCATCCCCCCCAAGGTGAGCTTGTGACTTTGAGTGATTTGTCCTTCAAAGAGGCTTCCCTGAGGATGGCCTGCCTGCTTCTCTGAGAGGACTGGAGAAGCCCCTCCACCGCCTCCATCTACCACCTGTCCCTTTGCATTAGGGACACTTGGAGGAAGAATGCAGCTGGCTTAATTGGGAGGCAAGGACAGCTGAGGTCCCTCCCTCCGGGGCTGCCAGCCTCTCCTGTCTAGGGGGCTTCCCGGCTCCACCCGGTGGGTCTGCCTGGCCACAGCATCGGATGTGTGGAGGCTGAGGCCCACATGATCTGCCTGATCTCGTGTCCTTTGGCCTGAGCCCCCCCAGTTGGTGTCCCTCTTGCAGTACCAGGCTGCCAGTGTTTATTGAGTGCCTACATGTGCTGGGTCGCACACTCACCAAGCTCCCTCTCACTGAAGCCACACAGTGACCTGAAGGTCGGGGCTTGGCGCAAGCTTCCGTGGGCACAGGAGCTGGACGGAGCCGAGGGTCTGACCAAGACATGCCTCGAGGCCAGGGGCTGCATCTGTGGGCATCTGAATGGGGAAGTCCTGCTGCAGCCTCACAACTCTGCTTGGCTCAGCGCTGGGCGCCCAGCAGTTTTTCCATTCTTTCAAGACTTTTTATTTTAAAATACTTTAACCTTACAGAAAAATTGCAAGAATAGGTCCAAGGATTCTCGTAGGAGCCCAGATGCACGAGGTTGACATCTGTCGGATCGCCGGTTTGTCGTATTATAATTGTTGAGCCCCTTTTCCCGAACATTCCTGTGTGTGCCTTTTTCCCGTGTGATGCTGGTACTTGGTGCTCACGTGTCACCCGCGGGGTCTAATGCCAGGGCTGGTCCTCAGTCACTGTCGCCTCTGCTGCATTTTCTCTGAGATGCCCATTTTCCTGATGGGAAAACTGAGGGTTAGAGAGGTGAGGTGATTTGCCTGGGCATGTGCTGGCCTCTGCGTCCGTGCTCCAGGCACACCAGCCCCAGACCTCACCGCGGCTGCCCCAGGAGGGGAGACCGTGTTCAGAGCCACATGGGGCGACTGGCCTCGGGGACTCCTCCTGCCTGCGAGTGAGGTCAGACGGGGCCAGAGAATGGTCTGCCTCCCTGAGCCTGGCCTTGAGGTGCCTTTGCACAGAGGTGACCAACTAGGTGCCCCTCTCCCCACTCTTCCCTGGTGCAGGAGGGAGCCCTCAGGGCGGCCGGGGTCTCTTGTCCCACCTGCTCCTCAGAGCTGATGCCTGTTCCACAGTGCCCCTGCACTGCCCAATTCCCAAGGTAGTGGCCCACACCCCCATGTCTGCAGCGTCCTGAGCCAGGCAGCAGGTCCCAGCACATGGGTGCTGGGGATGGCTCATGCGGCTGCAGCTCAGCACCACTGAGAGGCTGGAGGAGGGTTGGGATGTCACCTCTCGTGACCACAGGGACGGATCAGTTGTGCGACTGCTCTTCACCACCTTCCCTGGAGCAGCTGGGCTCTCTCCTTGTGGTGGTCCTGCCCCATGGGCAGCATTCTGACGCACCTCCGACCCTCCTCCGTGCTCAGGCTGAGTGTTGGCTCGACCCCTGGGAACTTCCGAAGTCCACGAGGGCTGCTGTGAGCTTGGTTGGTTGGAGCACAGTGTTGTAACGCCAGGGTTGTGGGTTCATATCTTCTCACCAGCCAGCTGCCAAAAATAAAAAGTAAAATGAGAAACAAAACACGTGCCCTGCAGCCCCATCCTCAGAGACTGATTTCACAGATGGGGTGGGGCTGCGTGTGGTTGTTTAAAGCAAAACAGGAAAACGCCTGAGGGATGGGAACACACAGCCAGGTGGGAGCTGCTGCTCACGGGATACGCTGGAAAACCTGAGCCTCACCCACCTGGCTGCCCTCCGTGACCCCCTGGCCCCCAGACCCTGCCTGGTTCTCTTGCTAGTTGCCCACACGTGCCATTCCTGTCCTGGAATGCCCTTCGCCGCTCTGCCTCAGAGTGGAGATCTCCTGCCCACCCTCAGGACTCCAGCCAGGTGTCGCCTCCTGCAGGGAGCCTGCCCTGAAACACTGGCCCTACTTTTGCTCCCACGGGCCCTATGCAGATCCTCTCACAGCCCAGAAGCAGCCTCCATGGCCAGGATGGCCAAGGGGGCTGCTGTGGCAGTGTTTTGTCTCTTGGGGTGTGTGAGTTGCCCTGTGGTGGTGCCCCATTCTGCCCTCACCACCCCTGCCTCCCCTGGAAGGTCAGGTGGTTGCTGCTGCAACCCTGCTGGCCCTGAGTCTTCCGGTCCTGCATCCCTCCTCTTACCCCCCACTGCAGACAAGCGAGGACTGGAAGCAAGGCTGCTTCCAGAAGGTTCAGCAGCAGAGGTCCTGGGGCTTCTCCTGGCATGTTGTGGAGCTTGGTGCCACTAGACCTGGGGTGGCCAGATCAGCACGTGAACATACAGGATGCCCAATTAAACCTGACTTTTGATAAACAGCAAATAACTTTTTACTGTAAGCACGTCCCTGCGGTGTTTGGGACATACTCTTAATAAAAACATGTTCACTGTTGATCTGGAATTCAGAAGTAACTGGGTGTCTGTGTTTCAGCTGGGCTGGGGCCTCTATCCCTCACTCGGTGTGACCCTGCGACTGGCTGCAGCTCTGCTTCCTGCCCTTCTGCTGGGGACAGCACTGTGACCACAGCACCCGGCAGGCCTGTGTGTGGGACCAGAACCTGTGAGCACCTGCTGGATTCACTGCACAGGCCAAGCCAGCCGACCTCACAGCGGGTGCAGGGGACCCCAGTCTTTGCCTGAGGACATGTGGGGCTGGGTGGGGTGGGTGGTCCTCGCCTCTCTGCCCCCCAGAGGCCCTATGCAGCCTTGTCGCTCATGGCAGGGGCCAGGGACCAGCTGCAGAAGCATCACCTGTGGCTTGTTGGAAGCACAACCTGTCCCTGCAGCTGCTTGGTTCGCGGGCTGCATCTTAACCAGCCCCATGGGATTCGCATCACAGTCCCAGCAAGGAGTGCATCCCGGTCGTGGTGTGGGGCCAGTAATTCATTAGAAATGATGGAGCACCAAAGTGGAAAGTGATTCCCTGTAAAAATAGGAAAGGCTGTGCAGACGTGATGCACTGAGCCTTCCCCATGGGCCTTCTCGCACCCCATGGGCAGGCCACTGGTGAAAGCAGGAACTTTACAGCCTCTGACTCCGGAATGCCATGGGAGAGGCCCAGCAGGGAGTCTGCACCCCAAGCCAGGGGCCTCAGTCTTGGAGCTGAGATTTGCCTCGGTGGAGAGCAGGGTCCTGCAGGGTCTGTATTGGGCCATGGCTCTGTCTGGGGCATCCTCCAAGCCTCGCCCTGTCCAGGAAGGATAAGAGATACTGATAGGATGGCTTGTGTTGGGGGTTGCACACTGTTGGGGCTCTGTCATCCAAGTGTCAGGTCCTTCTGCAAAGCTCATGGTAGAAGCTTCCGGGTCTGGTGCACCCGCTCTCTGTGCCTTACATGCTTTCCCATTCTTCCCTCCTCCACCTCCATGGTGGGCAGAATTCTAAGACACCTCAAGATTCCCATCCTGGGGTTCGTGCCCTGTGCTCTCCCTCCCTAAGCATGGGCCTGACCTGGGAACATGATGGGGTATCCCCCCTGTGACTAGGTTCCATCGTGGGGTGAAGATGGGAGAGATGAGAGGTCTCAGACCAGCTGACCTGAAGTGAGCCAAGAGGGAGCTTGTTTTCAGCAGGCCTGACCTGGTCAGGTGAACTCTTACACGTGCCTGCCATCTGTGGGCCTTGGAGGAGCAGGCGTGTGCGTGGAGAGGACCACTGGCAGGGAACAGTGGGCACTTCTGGGAGCTGCAAGCCTCGGTCCTACGTCCACAAGGAGCTGAATTCTGTGAACAGCCGGGGCTCTTGGAAGAGGACCCTAAGCCTCAGATGAACCCACAGCCCTGAGACCCTGGGCAGAGGACCTGGATAAGCCGTGCCCGGACCCCTGACCCACAGAAGCTGTGAGAGAATGGGTGTTGTTTGAAGTTAGTAAGTTGTGGCAATTTGTTATGCAACTGTAGCTACTAATACACACTCTTGCACCTCCTGAGGTTCAAACCCATATGCTCAGTCCTGAACTGTGGCCAGAGCCCTCACCTTGGCCCAGGGTGTGTCTGTGCATGTGGAGAGTTAGTGACAGTCCCTCCCTTCTCTCAGTGTGAACAGCAGCCTGGCCTGTCCTGGAATGTGAAGGTTGGCCCAGCAGCTCCGTGTCTACACCATGCCCGGCTGGCCAGGGGGAAGCTGTGAGATGGCCCTTGAGAATAAGCAGAAGGATTTCCCCAGGGGGCCTGGAAGCCATTGTGGAGAGCTGGAACTAGGGGCCGTTTTAGTGGTGGGAACTCAGGCGAGCAGAGGCTTCTAACCCACCATGATGCATCTGGTGTTCCTGTTCAAAATGACAGTCATGGGGGACCGCCATGCAATGTGGAATAGAGCTGTCCACACAGGTGCGTGGGACTGACCCACTGTGTGGCAGGAGAGGGGGGCTGAGAGCCCAGCCCACCCTCTGTGAAGGCAGTAATGCCGCTGGATAGTTCACATATGATGGAATTCTCCTGCTCCTGCCTCTCCACCGAGCAGGCCCAGCTCCATCCCCACTCTCAGCTGTCCTCCAGGGACCCTAGACCCCCCTCAGGACATGCTTGGAATTTCCCCTCCCCAAGACTTCCTTGAAATAGCTGCCTCCCCCTCAGGTCATCCACAGTGGCTGGACAGTGCCAGGGCATGCCCACAACAGCTGTTTCCTGGGGGTTGGTGGGGGTCCTGTGGGGGTCCCAGGACACAGGCCTACTGTCCTGGGTTCAGTCTCCAGTCACTCTGCCTGGGGGCCACGGGAGGATGGAGGCTGCCCCTCGTGCCCAGCCCCCCCCTCCACCCTCCATTCCAGGTCACTCTGGGTTGGGGACTGTCTCAGTTGTCCTATGCCAGTGGAGCACTGGGCACACAGTGGGCCAGCAGTGAAATCATGTCATGCAGCCATGGGCTCCCACTCCCCAGCTGCATGGTGCTATCCCTTCATTGTTGTCCCTGCAGGGAGCAGCCAGTTCCTTCCATTCTTCCCTGACATGCCTTCCTGTCCTGAACATGGTGGCTCCGGCTCCAGAAAATGGCTGGGGTGGGCAGATTTGGCCACATCTTCTCATGGGTCCTATGCACCAGCACAGGCAATGGGGCTGGTGATGAGTGAGTAAGTGAATGAATGACTGAGTAGTGAATGAGTGAATGAGTGAGCGAGTGAGTGAATGAGTGAATGAATGAGTGAATGACTGAGTAGTGAATGAGTGAGTGAATGAGTGAATGAATGACTGAGTGAATGAGTGAGTGAGTGAATGATGAATGAGTGAGTGACTAAGTGATTGATTGGATGTCTGCTTTCAGAGTCATGACTTTGCTCAGAGTCGGCAGTTTCCCCTAAACATAAAATAGTGACTTTAGACTCTTTGGACATCCTGTATTCTCTCCTGCTGGTCCCATCTGTAGGCCCTGTCTGGGCAGGTATCTGCAGAGCTGGAGGGTTGGGGGAATGTGCCCACAGTGGAGGTGGGACCAGTCTGCTGTCCAGAGAACAGCCTTGTCCACAACTGTCCCCAAGTGCAATGGAGCCGCAGACAGGCTGCTCAGCTGGGTCAGCTGCCTGAGGCCTCCACGTCCCACTCCCCATGCAGACCCAGAGCCCCTGAGTGGCATTTCTCCTGTTTGTCACTTGGCCCTACAAAGGGGGACAGGAGGCTTATTCCAGGGAGAAACACCCCAGTGGTGACAATGGGGGCCTGTCAGACTTACTTGGTGGTTTTTGCTGGAAGAGCCAGGCACACAGTAGGTGCTTGTTGCCTGCTTGTTGACGATGCTTAAGCAGGAGTTTGTGGCCCACCTGGCAGCTCCTCAAACAGATACGGGGTGGGAAAGGGCAATTAGGAGAGAGGCAGGTCATGAAGGGTCTCTGTGACCTTGGACCCAGCACCTGGTGGGCAGGTCTGGGCTTCTTCTGTCCGCCACCTCTCAAGTTGTCCTGTTCCTAGGCCACCGCCCTTGAGAGACAGGTGTTTGATTTCCTGGGTTACCAGTGGGCGCCCATCCTGGCCAACTTCATCCACATCGTTGTCATCATCCTGGGGCTCTTTGGCACCATCCAGTACCGGCCGCGCTACATCGTGGTGGTGAGTCCACGGTGCTCTGCCTCCTCCGTGGGTGGGCAGGGAGGGATGACTGGGCATGGGGGCCTCCAGTGGCAACTTCCTGCCCTGTTATCCTAAAAGCCACGAGCGCCCGGCAATGCCAGCCTAGACCCCCAGGTTCAGACCCTCTTACAGCCTGGATGTCCTGAATTCCGACACCGAGGATGTGGTTTTCTGAGGGCCGTGTTTCCTGGGGAGCCCCAGACACTCAGTGCCCTCACTCACCCATGTTTCAGTAGCTGGGTCTGGGGGTGCCGCTATGATCCCTGCTTCACAGGCAAGGAGGCCGGGGCACTGAGCACCTGTCTGGGGCAGGATCTGGACGCAGCTGGTACCTCGCGTGTACGGCTGTCCTACCTTTGGAGGAGCTCAAAATTTTTCTCTGACCAGCATCTTTGTTTGGTGAAAATCAAAATAATCAGCCTAGACCAGGGGCTTGCAGCAAACTTTTCCTGCAGAGTTCCAGGTGATAAATATTTTAGGCCTCATGGGCCATACAGTTTCTGTGGAAGCTCACCTCTGCCGTCATGGCACAGAAGCAGCCCTGGACAGAGCAGCGTGGCTGTGTTCCCATAAAACCTTATTCATGAAAGCAGGCAACAGCCCAAAGGCCTCCCCTCCCCAGCAGGCAGCTCTCTGAGGCTCTCTCTTGGGGTGGTTTTTTGGGGACACTCTATCATTGAGGCCAGTCATACCCTCGTTCACCTACCTTGGACAGGCCACAGCTGTCTCTGGGCAAGGAAACCATGTCAGAAAACTGTCCTGCGCCTCTGGCTCCCTCCGATTGGCTGTTCTCAATGCCTCATCTCCTCACCATCTGTTTGGGAGCAGGAGCCCTGTCTGTCCCCGTCTGGTGGCAGTGTGGGAAGACCCAACCAGGGTGGGCTTGGGGAAATGTCCTTCAGGCCGAGCATCCAGGGGCTGTCAAGTCTCGAGGAACAGGGGCCCGCCTGGCCGTGTGGTCATGGGACCTTTTCCTAAGGTGCTGTCAAAAGCAAGTGTCCCCTAAGAGCTGGGCTCAGCTTCTGCCCCCTGCCCCCTCTCATCTCCCTAGTATGCTGTGTGGGCGGCTGTCTGGGTCACCTGGAACGTCTTCCTAATCTGCTACTACCTGGAAGTGGGTGGCCTCTCGAAGGTGAGTAGACAGGTGGGGGCTCATGTAGAGTCCTTCCATAGGAGTCCTGACAGCCACCGTATGACACTTGGTGTGTTCACTGGTCTAATGCCAGTTTCTCCCCACGGAGGCTGGGGCTCAGTCTGTGCACGGCTTTGTTCCTGTGCCCAGAACAGCCCTGTCCCACAGTCGGTACACAGCGAAGGTTTAGGAAAGACCAGCGACTTGGTGTGTGGATCAGATGCATCGAGGAGATGCTGTGGGTGTTAGCGGGCCAGTGGCCTTTCAGCTGGGAATGAGGGCATCAGGAAGGCTTCCAGAAGAGGGGACCTCAGATCCCGGGCAGTGCCTGGAAGGAGTCGGAGCTGGGGCCATGGAGCCAAGAGGCCAGCCCAGGCAGAGATATGCAGGGGAGCCCCTGCCAGCGCATGGTGGGACTGGAGTGCAGGCAGAAAGGGGTCTCCTGCCCAGCTGCTGCCTGCTGCTGAAGCAGACCTGGGACCTTACAAAGCCCCATCCCTCCTGCGGGCAGATAGCAAACCCTGACAGGCTGCCTTGGGCTCTTTGCACGTAGCTCAGAGATCGGTTAAAGAGCCAGGAGTGGGTGGCGGGGGTGACTCGGGGTGCCTGGCTGCTCTCCACGCTGGCCAGGCTGCAGTGGGTGGGGCTGGCCACGTCCCAGGTGCTAACCTGTCTGTCCCCGTGCCCCCAGGACAGCGAGCTCCTGACCTTCAACCTCTCCCGGCACCACTCCTGGTGGCGCGAGCATGGACTGGGGTGTCTGCGTGAGGAGGTGCCCGCAGCCAGCCTTGGGGTCCCGCACAGCCAGGCCCCGGTGTTGGGCGCCAGCTGCACCCTGGAGCACACCTATGTGGAGGCCCTGCATAGCAGCCTGCAGATCCTGCTGGCGGTGAGCATGGGGGAAGGGGCTTTGGGGGTGGGAGTGGGGGGCTCATCCTGCCCCTGGCCGGGGCCAACATTGATCAGGTCTCAGGCCTTCCTGCACATGGAAAAGCCAGCTTTACTCTTTGCTGGGGCAGGATGTCCTTCCTAGACCCCCACCCCTGCCCTAGATGTTGAGGAATCACCCCATCTCCAGAACCTCAGTGTCGCCTTCTGCAAAATGGGCTCAGAACCAGCTCCAAACTCAGCCTCTGATGGTGCTGTGGAGCGGGAGGCAGGCCGGGAACAGCAGCACTGAGGGGGAGGCAGGTCCCTCCCAGCCCTGGAGGCCGCGTGGGCAGACGAGGAGCCACTGGAGAAGGAGGCAGAGACCCCAGCCTGGCCCACACCCTCCACTCCACCAGGCAAAAGAGGGCTTTCTGCTCCTGTGCTGAGAGCAGGTTGCCAGATTTAGGGAGTAAAAACACAGCACGTCCAGTTAAATTTGAACTTCAGATAAGCAAGTAACTTTTAGTCTGTTTGTTGCCAGATTTGGGACATATGTGTTGTGTATCTGGAATTCTAATTCACCTGGGTGTTCTGTAGTTTATCTGAAACCCTAGAGAAGTGATTTAATGTGGGGGCCTTGGGCAGGTGCGGGGGTCTGTGGGGGCTGGGGGCCGAGCAGGCACTGCCATCCTCGCCCTTGCCGGGCACATGTAGAGTGATTTTCCTGAGCGGGGGCAGCAGCCTGGGCCACTCTGGTGACAAGCTGGTCGCCTCTCCAAGCCTTGGTTTCCCCACTTGTACTTGGGCAATGTTAGCTGCAAACCCCTTCCTTCTCTGCCCCCATCCCTGCTTACCAGCCCCCATGCAGATCTGGGCAGCTCTGGTTTCTACTGTCAACGGGCATGAAAGCAGGGAGGGACTCTGGGCCCAGCTGGGCGGCTGACAGGTAGCGAACCAACAACAATGCAGGGGCCTGGCCGCTTCCGCAGTGCCCACTGGGCTGCTGCCCTGGTCCCGCTGGCTGCACGGGCACGAGGCAGGCCATGTTAGGGGCAGCACAGGGACTTCTGGGACAGCATCCCCTCCTCTGGGACCTTGTCCCCTTCCATGGAGGATGAACAGGAATAGTGCTGCTTGCTGATGGCGAGGGTGGGGCAGCCATTGTCTAAGGTGGGTGCCTGAGAACCTTCTGGCACTGACTGGGGATAAGGGGATTGTGACCTGGACCACTGGTCAGGGGGGCTCAGAAGTCCCTTCTCATGCCAGCTGCCCAGTCTGGCAGCAGCCTCTGGCAGATGCTGTGTCGCTGGGGGGATTGGAGAGGCTTCAGGGGCCCCATCTCTGAGCCAGCCAGAGGAACAAACTGCCTGTCCAACTGCGTGAGGCCCCATGGCTGCCAGAAAAAATGACCACAGTCGGGGAGGCCAAGAACAGAAACGTATCTTCTCTCAGTTCCAGAGGCCAGAAGTCCATCCAGGTGCCAGTGGGGCTGGTTCTCCCTGGGGGCTCTGAGAAAGAATACGTTCCTCGTCTCCCCCAGCCTGTGGACACCCCATCCGATCTCCACCTCTCATCATGTTGCCTTCTTCCTGTGCACCATGTCTCCAGTCTCCCCCCCCGTTTCTCTTACGAGGACACCAGTCATTGGATTTAGGGCACCCCTAATCCAGTGGGCCTCTTCTTAATTACATGTGCAAAGACCCTGTTTCCAGATAAGGTGCCAGGGTTAGGACTTGAATGTATGTGCTTGGGGACATGTTCAACTCAACAACAACTGAGCAGAATTCCTTGACATTATGTGCCTGGGTCTGGCCCCTGGAGGACTGAAGTGGTGACCACTGCCCCCAGATGGAACAGCCCCACCCTTCCCACAGCTTTTGTGCTGGCCATGCTGAGTGGGAAGGATGTGGGTCCGGCCCACAGGAGACCCAACCTTGGGCTTTGGCTGGCCCCACACAACCCACATTCAACCTGGCTAGGGATTCTCCAGTCCTGGATGGAACTGAGGAGCACCTGTCATTTGTGAAGTCAGAGTCAGGCTCTGCTGTCCTCTCAGGCTCCACTCGGGGGCCGAGAGGCTGCTTCTGGGTTGAGGTGATGCCACCTCCCCACTGAGCTGCCTTCACGAGGCACACAACCTCTCTGTGTGTTAGCTCCCTTTTTCTGTAAAATACCTTCCTCAAAGTGCTGATGGAAGGACTTGGTGGGTGCGTGGCAGGCGCCAGGCCGCCTTGAGCAGCATGTCACCAGCTCCCCGGGGCATGGCACACCTGGCACAGCTGCTGTAGGGCACTGGTCAGACCCTGAGGTTTCCTGACTCCCTGGTGCACACGGTGGTGTCAACACCAACATGCCTGGGTGGACATTGGGTTTGTAGGATAGGAACTTCTGCGGCCAGCAGCCGATGGTGGAAGCTGAATTCTGCATCAGGACACCCATGGCGTGAGAAGACGTGCGGCAGTGTAGGCAGTGCGTGAACTTCTGGTTCCTTCCTTTCCAGCTGTTATAGGTTCTGCAGGAAATCAGACAGGCACTGGGGGTGCCCCCATCCCAAAGAGCCACAGCTGCACTGTCCACCCCATGTGGGGAGCCAGCTCTCCCACCATGGCTCATTTCATGAGGCTAAAAGGGGGCCCCAGTTCCCCAAAATCATGTGGGAACACAGGTGCATTCCTTGAGAGAAAAAAGAACCAATTTGCCAAGGACACACATCAAAAAAAGACCTTGTGCAAAGGCAACAGAAAGGGAACTGGACAGAAGAAGATGAAGGTTCTCATGGAGGGACGATGTGCTTTTGGTGAGGCTGTGCTGGAGGTGGGCTTCTGCCCTCGAGGAGGGGACAGGACCTCCTGTTTGCGTTTCTTCTGCTTCCTAGAGGAGGGAGTTTCTTTAATGAAATGTGGGTTTCTAAATTCCAGACAGTGGGGACTTACTAGGAGCCTGGCCCTCTGCTGCTTGCTTTGGGGGGTCCAGGAGAGAAAGGTATCTTGGGTGGCCCCTGCCTGGTCGGCAGTGGCAGGAGATGTGGGCTCGAGCCTGGAGGTGGGCAAGAGGGGTGGAGGGGAGGCAGGGTGTGCTGGGAGGACCATGGCAGGGTGGCCTGGACGTCCCCGAGTGGGGTGGGCATCAGGCTGGAAGAAACGTCTTTCCCCAGGAGGACTGCTTGCCAGAGGACCAGACAGGCTGTGCTTTCAGCACCGCGGCCAGCTCTCGGGGGGGCCACAGGCTCCTTCCATGGCGGGTGGGGGGGGGGGGCAAGCCATGGGGGGACTCCCCCCCCCCCCCTGGGGCAGGGAACCAAAGCAGGCTATTTGGGAAGCCTTCTCAAGTTTGTC